TAGTGTTTTTAATAATAATTTTATTGCATGCACTGTCCGCTGTATTTTTAAAAACATGCCACGAGTGTATTGCGTAGTTTACGGCTGCTTGAACTCGGCATCTTCAAAACCAGAACTTTCATTTTTTAAACTTCGTAATAATTCTGAATTATAAAAATAATTAAATTTTACTTTTTAAATAAAGTGCTTACATCTGATTTTGTAATAGTTCTTTTTAAATTACGTAATTACGCTTTTTACAATTTATGTGTTCTATTTGATAAAGTATTTGCTCCGCGCGCTTTTGTACTAAGTTATGAACTGTATTTAAAATGAGGCAATAGCTATGTGAAAGTAAGTATCCGGTATTTTATTTATGAGAATAGATCTTCTACCGGCCTCTAATAGTACTTAATCAATTTATTCGATTATGTATTCGATCATTATAGAACCTAATTAACATTTTATTTTTTTGTTAACTACTTAGTCAATTAATTTATTCCATTAGGTATTTGATAATTAAAAAACGTTTTAATAAATAAGTAAGTAAGAACCTTATTAATTTTATAAAGATTAAGAGTGCCAACCCTAACACTCAGTTGAAGTGTAGGTATTTAACTCGCCGAAAGGGCTAAGTTTCCGTACTGCTTTAGCTCATATATATACTGTGGTAATAATGATTCTGCTTCTTCTCATATTACTGTCCCGAAGCAGTGGTAGGGGTGAGACATGTAAAGTTAAACATTTTCCATAAGGAGCCTTCTATCCTTGCTAGTATTATAAATGCGAAAGTAGCACTGTCTGTCTGTCTGTCTGTGTCGCTTTCACGCCTAAACTGTTTAAATGTCTTTTATGTGTGCATGGAACGGTTCGGAACAAACTACATTGAATCTATATTGCATGTTGTGTCAGCCTATAATTGTTGTTGCATTGTAACTTTGTTCATAATTGTTATTTTTAGGTGTACATGTTGTTATGTAACAATGTTGGTAGACCTAATAAATAAATAAAAATAAATAAAAAAACACCACTGAACCGATTTTGATGAAATTGGCATAGATATAGTTTGAGTCCCGGGACAGGACATAAGATAGTTTTGTTTTTTTGAAACAGGGACGCGGACGACAACGTTTTCCTGTGACAGATACAATTTGACGCGGGTGGAGAGCTAGTAGAAAATAAGTTAGATTTTAAGCACTCCACAGAATCTCTTGATGATTATTGAAGTGTACTTTTGTTTCAGAGTCTATCAGTGCTAAACGATCATAACCAGACGCACTGCGGTCTCGAACCGTACAAGTGCGACAAGTGCGGCAAAACATTCTCCATGAAGAGCACTCTACATCGACATATGAGCACGCACAAGCCGGCGCCGGAATGTAACCTGTGCGGGAAACAGTTTGCGGCGGTTTATAACTTGAAGAGGCATATACTGGTGAGATGTACTGCGAGGCTGTCAGACACGGACACAGCCACTGGTGGCTGTCTAGACACGGACACAGCCAATAGTGCCTATCTGGACACGGACACAGCCACTAGTGGCTATCTGGACACGGACACAGCCACTAGTGGCTATCTGGACACGGATAGAGCCACTACACAGCCACTAGTGGCTATCTAGACACGGATAGAGCCACTACACAGCCACTAGTGGCTATCTAGACACGGATAGAGCCACTACACAGCCACTAGTGGCTATCTAGACACGGATAGAGCTACTACACAGCCACTAGTGGCTATCTAGACACGGATAGAGCCACTACACAGCCACTAGTGGCTATCTAGACACGGATAGAGCTACTACACAGCCACTAGTGGCTGTCTAGACACAGACACAGCCACTAGTGCTGTCTAGACACGGACACAGCCACTAGTGGCTATCTGGACACGGATAGAGCCACTACACAGCCACTAGTGGCTATCTGGACACGGATAGAGCCACTACACAGCCACTAGTGGCTGTCTAGACACGGACACAGCCACTGGAGGCTGTCTAGACACGGACACAGCCACTAGTGGCTATCTGGACACGGATAGAGCCACTACACAGCCACTAGTGGCTGTCTAGACACGGACACAGCCACTAGTGGCTATCTAGACACGGATAGAGCCACTACACAGCCACTAGTGGCTGTCTAGACACGGACACAGCCACTAGTGGCTGTCTAGACACGAACACGGCCACTGGTGGCTGTCTAGACATTAGCACACATTTTTTATGTATATTTTCTATTTTAATATGTTGTGTCAAATAAATTATTTTTTCTTTCTTAGATCCACATGAACGCCAAGCCGTACGCGTGCGAGCCATGCAACAAGCGTTTCTGCACTCCTTCAGAGAAGAAAGCGCACATCGCTCACTGTCACTTGGGCGTTCCGTACCCGAAGAAACGGCCCAAGCATGAGAGGATGCTTAGGGTACGTATTAGCCAATAGTGGCTATCTGTAATCTAATTTAGTTGCATAATCTAGACACATAGCCACTAGTGGCTATCTCTAGTCACAGAGCCACTAGTGGCTATCTCTAGTCACAGAGCCACTAGTGGCTATCTAGACACTTAGACACTGCTCTAGTGGCTATTCAGACACTTGGACACTGCTCTAGTGGCTATCTAGACACCTGGACACAGCTCTAGTGGCTATCTAGACACCTGGACACAGCTCCAGTGGCTATCTAGACACTTGGACACAGCTCTATTGGCTCGAAGAAACGGCCCAAGCATGAGAGGAGGCCCAGGGTGCGTATTAGCCTAGACACGTAGCCACTAGTACACTTTATTGCATAATCTAGACACATAACCACTAGTGGCTCTCTAGTCACAGAGCCACTAGTGGCTATCTTGACACCTAGACAGAGCAACTAGTGGCTATCTCCACCCCGCAAGAAGCTATCTTTAGTACTTTTAGTACATCCACTTTGGAACTTATCTCGACGCATAGCCACTTGTGGCTGTCTCTAGTCTAGCCACTGCTGCACTGTGGCTATCTCTCAACTTTATTACTAGTGGCTATCTGGCCGTGTAAAGAATGTAATATGTTTTGTTTTCCAAATAAATAAAAATTGGCCGTGTAAAGAATGTAATATGTTTTGTTTTCCAAATAAATAAAAATCCAAGCGCTTTACTCAGTGCCCAAAGGTATGGGACCAGCGCGGGAGGCGTGACAATGACATATTTTATTATGACTTTATGACGTGACATATCGTCGCTTGCCTCTCTAACTGACGTAACTGACATTTTGGAAAATTTTCAGGCGATTAGACAGATCGATTCGTCTTGCGAAATTGATTAGGATGGTGTAGATAACTCGGTTTCGAAAAAAAATTCAGATATAGGGGGGCGCTACCATCGTTCAACTGTATAGTTTCCAACATGTTCAGACAACAGTTTCTAACAAAAAATCGGAACCAGCGATCCGGTATTGACATTGGCGCCCCGCTGTCAATGTCACGGGTAGGACAGTTCAATACAGGGTGTTAGGTAAATGGGTATATGAGCCGACACTAGCCCATGTTAACATGGGCATATAAATGATATGGTGAAGTCAGAAATTTGATATCATCATTTTAATTTTTTTAATTTTCATACAAAATATTTTTTATAAAATACGATTTCTATGAAAATTAAAATAATTTATTTTGTAAATAGTTTTTATCATTAGTAATTTTTAAATTTTAGTTTTTAAGTCATTTTAAGTTAAAATAATTAAAATGAAGATGTCAATTTTCTGACTTCACCATACCATTTATATGCCCATGTTAACATGGGCTAGTGTCAACTCATATACCCATTTACCTAACACCCTGTATAATGATGATTTCTATTTTGTTACAGCCTTACAGACACAGATTAATAAAAATGGATATAGACGACTCAAATTCCACAATGACAGACCCCATCGAAGAAGAATTGATTCAAATGCACGAAGAATAAAGATTTTATTGTTATACTAGCGGCCGCCCGTGACTTCGTACGCGTCGATCCCGTTTTACCCCCTTAGGGCTGGAGTTTCGTAAAATCCGTTCTTAGTGAGCACCTACGTTCTAAAAGGAACCCCCATGCAAAATTTGCGACTCCTAGCACTTGTAGTTTCTGAGATTTCGTGATGAGTAAGTCAATCAGTGACTTTTCGCTTTTATAGATGTATAGGATCATATACAATTCAACACTTGATCATTGATGTTTAAAATAGTGCAGTATTGGTCTATCAATTTTTACAATTACATTTTTAGATACTAGTGTTAAGCAAAAGTTTTTGTTGCTGTGTATAACTTTTTTGGCCTTAAAGGAAAATATTTGTTTTAAATTTTTTATGTGTCTGCTTTGGTTATTCCTAGTAAATATTTAAAAAACATTAACTGTTTTGTGTACATACGATTTTAATAATGTAAATAATAATTGTAAATAATAAAACCGGCCAAGTGCGAGTCGGGCTCGCGCACAAAGGGTTCCGTAGCAGCAAATATAATAAACTTATTATGTCAATTTAATCAACCTATCTCAAAAACTATAAGAGATACTTTGATCAAACCAAAAATCGTTGAAAGAGTTAATTAGCATGCATCACCTCTATTTTTTTTAGAATTTTATACCCCGTAGTTATAAAAATAGAGGGGGGGGGACATACTTTTTACGACTTTGAGAGCTGATATCTCAAAAACCGTTCACTTTAAGAAAAATGTTTTTTAGAAAACTTTATATCATTTTAAAAGACCTTTCCATTGATACCCCACACGGGTATGTACATCGAAAAAAAATTTTCATCCCTCAGTTACATGTATGGGGGGCCCCACCCCCAATTCTTTTTTTTACTATTTAGTGTCATAATTTTGTAGCGGTTCATACAACACATATTCCCATCAAATTTCATCACTGTAGTACTTATAGTTTCCGAGTAAATCGGCTGTGACAGACGGACAGACGGACAGACGGACAGACGGACATGACGAAACTATAAGGGTTCCGTTTTTGCCATTTTGGCTACGGAACCCTAAAAATAGCTTTTTAAAATTCAAGTATATTTATTTACAACCTATTTTTCTATAAACAAAGAAAATGTACAATATTACATTGTAATAAGGCCGCACTTGAAGCACATTTGCCAAATGATCTATTCTATTCTATCGGCTAATACTTCGTACAAATTAAGGATGGAGCACACTTATCGACCCGGAAAGGGATGCAACGCCACCCCGCACCGTAACGTAAACGCCTCGCCTCGCGGTTGACAGCTCGCGAAAAGCGATAATTTTTTAAAGTTGATAAGTCTGCTATGACCTTTAGAAGCCGACCAAACTTGGCCTGCTACGGGCTCTTAATTTATTCTTCTGTGTTCAATTCGTCCATTTCAATGTCGACGTCCGATCGGAACTGTAAAAGAAACCATACTATGAGTTATATTATTTTCTAAGGATGAGGCTCAGTTTTCACCAATGAATATGATTATGAAATGAATAAATATGAAACCAATGAATAAATGAATTTGACAAAATGAAATCTGATTGGTTATTCAAAACACTTTTTCGCTCCGCCTTGATGGACACTGGCCTTAATAGTTTTCAAATTCAAATTCTTTATTTGCTTATAAATTATTTCTTCCTATGTTCTATGATTAATAGCGTTGTGGGTCCAATGAATGACAGTTTAATTTTCTCCCGAGACTGGATTTCATTGGTAGGGTTTTTGTTGGCGGCCAAGCTGAAGATCCTGGCTATACAGCAGTTGCAGCGGTGGTAACGAGAGGTGGGAATAGTCGATGGTGTCCCAACACTAGTAAGCTTACCGTGTCGCCTCTTCTCTTCACCTAGGGGGCGGTGCGAAATGAAAGCTGCGAATGAGGGCTATCGTTTTAGCGCTCACCAGTTAGCGCCACTGTAGAGTAAGGTCCTGTCACTTGCTAGTAGCGAAGACAGTGGCACCAACTGGTGAGCACTAAAGTGGTAGGAGGACTATCGCAATTGCACTCATCAAGATGGCGCCACTGTAGAGTAAGGTCCTGTCGATCGCCAGGGGTGCCAACTGTTAAGTATAAAAACGATAGCCCTCATTCTGCAAATCGGACGTTTTGTGCAAATCAGATTTTTGACATTACGACCCAGACGAGTAACTGCGCATCTGGCGGCCGTGACGTCACATCCGCTCTGGTACGGAACGGGGCAAACGCGAGGAGAGTCGCATTCCAGCGAGGTGCGCAGTTGGCCCGATCAGGTAGACTCACCGTGCCGCCCCTCTGCCGGGCGGCGGGCTGGTCGCGCGGCCGCTTCTTGGGCCAGGGCACGCCCATGTGGGGCTTGATGAAGGGTTGCAGGACCGCTTGTAGCGGTTATGATGGTGGACCTGTGTACTCTGTGTCGTTTATCGATATTTCCACGTGTCAAAAGTATCTATAGTGTTGTTTGATACTATCGATGTCTCAACATTAGTGTCATTTATCGATGGTGTCCCAACACTATTAATCCACTATCGATAGTATTCCTATGTGTCAAAAGTATCGATAATATCATCTGGTGTCTTGGGATACCATGGGTGGTCCAACACTAGTTTATCGATAGTATTTTCACGATGGTCCCAACACTAGTTACATTTTCGTGGTCAATTATCGATGGTGTCCCAATACTAGCGTCTTTCTTTATGGTCATCTATCGATAGTGAACACTCGTGCACTTACCATGCCACCTCTTTTCCTAAATTCCAGAACACTGAAACGCAATTGCAACTAAACTGCAACTTCTAGTTACTTTTGAGTTGCATCTAAGTTTCTGCCATAGATTCCGTTGAGAGACCACACATGACGCGACCATTTCAAACCGGTTTGAAATGGCATTCCGTGAAACAGACATGTCTGACATTCTGACGTTTTGTGCATCTGACGTTCTTGACATGAATCTGGATCTGTCATTGTTGATATCAATACTCACCGTGCCGCCCCTCTGCCTGGAGGCGGGTTGGTCGCGCGGCCGCTTCTTGGGCCAGGGCACGCCCATGTGGAAATGCCTGATGTGCGCCCGCTTCGCTGAAGGGTTGCAGAACCGCTTGTGGCGGTTATATGGTGGAGCTGTGTACGCTGGTGTCGTTTATCGATAGTCTACTATCGACATTTTCACGTGAAAAAAAAATATCGACAATAGTTTCATATTTGTATAAAAAGACTATCGATGGAGTCACAACACTAGTGTCATTTATCTATGGTGTCACACCACTAGTCATTTATCGATGCTGTCACAACACTAATATCACTTTCTATCGATGGTGTCACAACACTAGTGTTATTTATCGATAGTGTCATTCATCAATAGAGTCATAACACTAGTGTCATTTATCGATGGTGTCACAACACTAGTGTCATTAATCGAAAGTATAACTTTCGATGGTGTCCCAACACTAATGTCATTCATCTATAGTGGAACTATCGATGGTGTCCCAATACTAGTGTCATTTTTCTAGTAAAACTTGGTGGTGTCACTTTCTGTCGATGGTGTCAACACTAGTGTGTGTCATTTTTTATCGATGGTATCTCAACACTAGTACACTATCGATCGATATCGATACTTTTACTATCGATGGTGTCACAAAACTAGCGACATTTTTCATGGTCAGCTAGTGAACTTACTATGTCGCCTCTCCGTTTGACGGATAGTTCAGGAATTTGTCATTGTTGAATAGGGATCTGTCATTTTTGACATGTGACTATAATTTCTGACATAAGACTCACCGTGCCGCCCCTCTGCCTTGATGCAGGCTGGTCGCGCGGCCGCTTCTTGGGCCAGGGCACGCCCATGTGGAAATGCCTGATGTGCGCCCGCTTCGCTGAAGGGTTGCAGAACCGTTTGTTGCACGGCTCGCACGAATACGGCTTTGCGTTTAGATGGATCTGTGGGACATAAAAACTAGTGATGCAACGGATACGAATATTCGTATTCGCCGAATAGTAGTCATTTACCGAATATTCGTATTCGGTGAAATAATAATTACGAATACGAATACCTACTTTTTTTAAATTTTGTCACACACGTGTGTCTCCGAACACTATAGCCACAGCGACACGACGAGAAAACCCCGGTCAGTGTGTAACAAAGTATAGCCTGACCAGGAACATAAAAACCCTCGCCATGTTGCGGAAAACTAATGGTACTAATTTCTTTTAATGGCAACAGTAACTGAAAACTTCATTGACATGTCACCTTGCATGTCAGTCTATTGCTGTCAAAGTGTAAACAAACTTTATTTTAAATGTGCGCAATTGATTTTGTGAATTAAATTGCTAAAATCTTTTTATAGTCGTGAAAGAAAAGTGGTTCACAATGTGTTAAGTATTTGTCGAAGAGAAATACTAAGGGTTCGGACAATATTTTCATTGAATAATGTCTTCGACAAAGGTTGTCAAATTGACTGACATGTTTATCGTATAGTACAGTCCACTATGAAAATTAGCTGTGGTTTGTTTCAACCTATACCTACCTACCTATATGTACCTATTTTAAAGTTTTTTGTCACTTTCTAAGTGTTGAATTTTATGGAATTGGGAAAGAAGTACCGAGTTTGAAGCGTTCATGAGCAGACATTGCAGTTGAATATTCAAGTTCTGAATTTGATTATTGATGAATAATAAAATAAATCCTACTAACTCGATTGATGGTTTCATTTAATTTATTTAAACCAGGTTACCTATAATAATATTTTTTCGTTAATTTATGAAAATATCAAATTAGCCCGTAATCCTGAATCCTGATACTATTATTGAGTATTAATTTAACACAGGTACGACTGTACTCAGTGTTGCACTATCAAATGCAATTGACGCGCCTCTATGTCAGGGTTTTTATGTTCCTGGTCAGGCTATAGTAAATAAATTCTCTTTCGGAATTTGACAGTCAATAGCAGGTCGATTGTATTAGTTACAAAGTAAAGTGATACAATACCAAAAAAATGCCATTTGTAAATTTTAATTACTAAAACATTAACCATGATAAAAACAGTTTTTATGAGATTTCATGACTATGTAGAGATATTCGGATTCGTATTCGCCGAATAGTAGATTTAATATTCGTATTCGTAAAAGTAGTATTCGTTGCATCACTAATAAAAACTATTATCTGATTCTATCCATAAATAGTGAATCATAAACAGGAACGTACAAGTTAACTAAGCTGTGGCGCTTAACTGAGTCAGAACATCGCTTAATCTTCGGCCCAAGAGAATCTCATAGCAGACGAGGCGAAGAAAATCGACAAGACTGAGGGTTTTCGTGTATGAAAAATCCGCCAGATGGCAATACGTAGACGCAAGGTCCAAATGCTGCATGATTGGTTATTTTTGACATGACATTGACAGATATGTCAAAATCCACCAATCACGCAGCAGTCAGACCCCACATCCACGTCCCGCCATCTAGCGGATCTTTCATACGCGAAAACCCTCCTTGGAGCGAGATCAAACACGAAGCTCAAGACCGAACGCGATGGAGGACTGTTGTGGACGCCCTCGGCCCCATCTAGGGGACATAGGACATAGTTTACCTAAGTCAGTGTCCGAGGTATGGGAGCGTCACGGAAGTTTTTTGTACGTACTTCAGATTTGTACGTCATAATATGTCAAAATCACCACTCCCGTAGGACAACAAGGTTCTGGAGTCCACATACCGCAAACAGAAAGCGCAGCGTAGGATTACCATCCAGAAGGTGGACCGACGACCTCATAAAGGTAGCAGGAAGGCGCTGGATGCAGGCCGCTATCAAACGGGCGATGTGAAATCCTTGAGGGCGTCCTTTATTCAACATTGGACGTCTTATGGCTGAAATGATGATGTTGATGACCCCTCCCGTGACGCTCCCATATCTAAGGCACTGTCAGTTAAGTGCTAAAGCCCGGTCTGTGAGCACGTAGAATTTTGTCCAATGACCCCAAGCTACCCATCATTATCGCTCGCGCGTAATTATATTGCTGTCGCGACTGTGCGACGGGCGCCCGCAGTGAGTGTGCGAGCTTGGGGTCATTGGACAAAATTCTACGTGCTCTCAGACCAGACTATAGACTTATAAACGACCTGACGATGTTCATCATGTTTAAATTATAGTGGATCTGAAACATCCGGATGCGGGCAGCGCAGAACCGTAAATTGAGGAAATCCTTGGTGTCCTCTAATCCAAACGACGTCCACTGTGGACAAAGGCCTCCCTTTGTCCAGCAGTGGACGTCGTTTGACTGAAACGAATATTAAAATATTATAGTACTCACCGCAACGTGTCGTTGAAGGCCAGCGCGGGAAGCCAATTCCCTGCCGCATATTCGGCAGCGACGAGACTGCGTGTGGTCGGGCCTGCCATACAAATATATAGGGTGATTAGTATCATAGCTCATGAGTTAGTTCCACTGACCAGTGGGCTGAGTGTGAGTAAAAAATGCATGAAAATGTTAGTTTTTGAAAGTTTCCCGTTAGGGGCGCTGTACAATCCGTCATACATTTAATGACATTTTTTGACGCGCGTTAAAAAAAAACTCATACTCAGCCCTCTGTAGCATTATTCACGTAACAAAACTTCAACGACAACAAATCGCTGAATGCGATCCTATCGAGTAATCGTTCTATCGAAATGACCCTTGTGAATACGGATTTAGAACTGTTTTTCAATGGGACGAAATCCGTCAAAATACGTGAATTAGGCCACTGTATACACACTGGACTGGCTGCTGTCATTTCGGTCAGTTTTGCCATTTTAGTGCAGTAGGCCATACTGTAGGCAGATACGAGTGTCCATGGAACTAAAATTAGTGATTTTCTTTCTCGCTTACTCCTATGGTTACTCCATACAATGTACGTCAAAATTAGTTTTTGGCACTCAAAATTAGCCTGCCCAGTGTATAGAGGTCAGTGGTTAGTTCTATCAACCATTATCTTCGAAAATCCTGGGCACTATGAGGGACACCGGACCATAGGAGGTTTTCCATGGTTAAAAAGTTTGAGTTTGAATTAGTCCGTCGATTACCTTATCAAAAAATACTCGAGAAATATTTTTAAATTAGTTGGCTTATACTAAATTCAGGGACAACGGGTAAAATAATTCCCGTGGCACTTTCAGGGGGGATGTCTAGATGCGAGCGGCGTAGGATCGGTCTTTGTGGAAATCCTTGGGGGAGGCCTTTGTCCAGCAGTGGACGTCTTTCGGCTGAAATGAACAAACTATTACAGGGACCACGGGCAAAAAGGCCCTGACGATGAAGTTCTCGAGTGGCGACCACGGGCTGGAAGACGTAGCGTGGGCAAGCCTCCTACTAGGTGGACCGACGATCTGGTAAAGGTCGCGGGAAGAGCCTGGATGCGGGCAGCGCAGAACCGTTCATTGTGGATCACCTTGGGGGAGGCCTTTGTCCAGCAGTGGACGTCATAGCAAAGGTAGCAGGAAGGCGCTGGATTCAGGCCGCTACCAACCGGGCGATGTGGAAGTCATTGGGGGAGGCCTATGTTCAGCAGTGGACGTCCTGTGGCTGGAATGATGATGTGATGATACTTACATGTGCGCGGACAGCGCTTGCTTGGTCGCGAAGGTGCGGCCACACTTCTCGCAAGCGAAGGGACGCGCGCCGGTGTGAGAATGCAAATGTTCCCGCAAGGTTGTTACGTTCTGAAAATAAATAATCTTTATTATTTTATTTTATTGTAGGAAAACAAACAGCATTCTATAACACACAGAGTACCAATTAAACTTCACATATTTTGCCAAAATTGTTTTACTTTTGGACTATTTCACAAAGCGCCTCCAAGTAAATGACAAATCGGATTTTATAAAATTTATTTTGTATGAAAATTAAAAATATTAAAATTATGATATCAAATTTCTGACTTCACCATTCCATTTATAGCCTGACCAGGAACATAAAAACCCTGGCATAGAGGCGCGTCAATTGCATTTGATAGTGCAACACTGAGTACAGTCGTACCTGTGTTAAATTAATAGGCTAACTTTATGTATCAGGATTCAGAATTACGGGCTAATTTGGTATTTTCATAAATTAACGAAACAATATTATTATAGGTAACCTGGTTTAAATAAATTAAATGAAACCATCAATCGAGTTAGTAGGATTTATTTTATTATTCATCAATAATCAAATTCAGAACATGAATATTCAACTGCAATGTCTGCTCATGAACGCGAACGCTTCAAACTCGGTACTTCTTTCCCAATTCCATAAAATTAAAAAACTTTAAAATAGGTAGTTGAAACAAACCACAGCTAATTTTCATAGTGGACTGTACTATACGATAAACATGTCAGTCAATTTGACAACCTTTGTCGAAAACATTATTCAATGAAAATATTGTCCGAACCATTAGTATTTCTCTTCGACAAATACTTTAACACATTGTGAACCACTTTTCTTTCACGACTATAAAAAGATTTTAGCAATATAATTCACAAAATCAATTGCGCACATTTAAAATAAAGTTTGTTTACACTTTGACAGCAATAGACTGACATGCAAGGTGACATGTCAATGAAGTTTTCAGTTATTGTTGCCATTTAAAGAAATTAGTACCATTAGTTTTCCGCAACATGGCGAGGGTTTTTATGTTCCTGGTCAGGCTATATATACCTTTTTTTATTTAAAAAAAAGATTATTAGCAATTTGTATTGCACAAATNACAAAATATCAAGCGCACACGTAGAGCTATCATTTAAATAAAAAAGTAATGAAATCGGACAAATGGTTTTCAAGTTATGGTTGATTTTCTAAAATTGACTGCTATTTTTGTTAGCTTCCACTTAGAGATGCCAATCATTGTTTTATAATAGCGTAATAAAATTATTAACCTGCTGTGAGAAGGGAATTGAGTATCCTCAAATTAAATCGATATCTTGGCTGACCCATGGATTAATTAGGAATACATTAAAAACGCGCGCGTAAATGCCTAATTCTGGTCAAAAAGCCAATTCTGTTTTGAAAGTATTTATGGATTTATTGGTTTTTAAACTATTTTAAAACTTGCTGTGACTCATTGTGTACCCTCAAATTTCATAAAAACGCTATTTTTGTAATATTAATAGTTTATGTTAGGAACCCCTAAAATAGCAATTTAAATTTTTTTTAAGGACAGGTAGAGGCCTCAAGATGACTGATATCTCATTAAATTTAATGCTAATCGTAATCTATATGTCAAAACGCTACTTTTGATACCTCTTGCGCAACCGTAGCTCAAAAAAAATTTTTTCCCATACAACGACGGGACACCCTAGTAGGCATCCGCTAAGAAAGGATTTTACGAAACTCCACCCCTAAGGGTTTGGTGTAGTGGTTCGGAAGGGAATACTATGCCGAGTGGTCCCGGGCTCGATTCCCGGCCGGGCAGAAATTGAAATGATGAATTTTAATTTCTGTGACGGGTCTGGGTGTTACTACGTATAATATGTATGTATTTAAAAAAAAAACGTATATATGTAGTATATCCGTTAAGCTAGCACCCATAACACAAGCATATTAATTGCTTACTTTGGGGCTAGATGGCGCTGTGTGAGATTGTCCAAAGATACTTATTTATTATTTTATTTATTTCACAAAGCGCCAGCTAGCCCCAAAGTAAGCAACTTATATCTATGCCTTTTTTTATTAAAAAAAAAAATTATTAGCAATTTGTACTGCACAAATTACTAATAGTCCCGTTAGCCTCTCGTAGTAAGCTAAATAAACTTGTGTTACGAGTGGGCTCACCACACCAGTCCAGTGGCGGCGGGGACCGAAAACATTCGCTACAAATTCTACTTTCGTTTGTATTTTTTTTGTGGATAATGCGTTTATGTAAGTCATAATAGATCACCTAAATAAATACGGCACCACTAACTGACTGGGATTAAAATCAACACCCTGTATACAAGCACTGACCTGCATGACCCGGCCGCAGACCTCGCACATGTACTGGTTGGGTCCCTGCGAGAACTGGGTCCGGTTTTTTCCTGGATGCTTGTCCAGGAAGTGGCTGATGTACCGCCGAATGGACTCCAGGACCTCGCCGCACTGTGGGAAAATAATAACTATTAGAGTAGGCGCACACCGTTTATTTATTTTTAGTTGGCCGATAGTTGTGCTCGATTTTAAATTGTGTTGGGCACCGGGTGTGCCCGTTACTATACCTTATATATATTTAATTGATTTGGAGATGTTCACTTTTTACTATATTGAAACACGTCTTTGTCTAATGATGTTTAATGAACAACTGCCGTCAAAAAGTAAAAAAACAAAGCGTCAAAATATAAAAAACATTCCAAAAGAAAAAATACAAAAAACGCATATAAAAAAGGTCTGTCGCCAACAAATTGTATGAAGAATCGGCCAAATCGAATCGGCGTAGTGTGCGCACTCCCATACATGCCCATACTGATCAACTGCCCGACTAAACTATCGGCCGACGAAAAATCAACGGTGTGCGTCTACTCTTAGCATTTGCTGATAAAATGTCTAATAGAATAAGAATGTCTATATTCAGCACAATTTAAGGTATACAAAGCAAGAGTAAGTAAACATAAAAAATAAATAAAAACATATGCTGAATAGGCGCTCAGCAAAAATCGCGACATGACACAAACGTCATGCCGAGAAGCTGGTTTTCAGGAACCAATGCGTAATGAGGATTGCGCGCCCTTCTGGTCGAGACGGTTTAATCAGACAGTGTCAGACAGGTTATAGGCGAGTTACAGACTACAGTCTGATGACACAATGAGCCAGGTCAGTCTACTAATAGCCCCTTGCCTAAACCCACAATACATAACGAAGTTATTTGCAAATGAGCTGTATTATAATGTGGACTTGTTCCCACGAAGCATAGCATAGCTGCCTTCTTCCTTTTGGAAGTCGATTTGAAAGAACTAAGTCAATATATCTGACCTAAATATCTGTCTTGCCCCCCTTAAGCCAGAAGCTGGATAATATAAGTAAAATTTCAGCGAGACCGGATTTATATGCTCTATCACGTCATTATAAATATAAACATCACTGACTTGACTATTTTGGCACTGTCTCAATTAATCTCTACACCTCAAAGGCTCCTGCTCCTACCTGCTCGCATGTGACGCTCTTTTTCTTCACATTTTCAGCATCCTACTGTTTCTAGTCGCTTTAGACCTGGTATGCACCATGGCGGAGCGGAGCGGAGATGTGTTTTGAATCTAGCTAGATATTGAAGGCTCTAGACCAGTGGTTCTTAACCGGTGGTCCGCGGACCACTGGTGGTCCCTGGAGGCATTCCAAGCCACGAAGACATCGTAATAAACAAGTGACTTGACGTGATGAATCGAGTCAATACAACGCAAACGGCGCACAGTGGGCGAGAAATCGACTTCCCCTTTCATAGGGATTTGAAAAAAAATAAGTGGTCCCTGACATGACAGAAATTTGGTAAAATGTCCCCTCGTAAATTAAAGGTTAAGAACCACTGCTTTAGACCATTGGTTCTCAAAGAGGCGGGCGCGCCTCCCAGAGGAGGCGCAAAGACCTTTAAAGGGGGACGCGGGCCATCTGTGTACTTAAGTATAAAAATCCTGCGACCGCTGAGAGAATGCGTTCCAGACTGCTCGATACGACCAATAAATAATCTTTAGCTACCCATCTTTATCGCTCGCGCGTAATTATGTTGCTGTCGCGCTCGCACACTCACTGCGGGCGTCGCACAGTCGCGACAGCAATATAATTACGCGCGAGCGATAAGGATGGGTAGCTTGGGGTCATTGGACAAAATTCTACGTGCTAACTTACAAATTCTAACTTCTGATACATCTTTCGGTTGATCTAGGGCGGCTCCTCTCTCCTAATTGCCGTGCCCTACAGGGCCCATAATGTTCTAATTTTAAGTACATAATTGATGCAATAAAATATTGAGTACTAGCTGACCCGGCGAACTTTGTTCCGCCTTAATGGCAATAAATAAGCAGACTTTTTTTTTAATTTCGAACGGGATAAAAAGTATCCTATGTCCTTCTCCTGGCTCTAAACTACCTCCCTGACAATTTTCAGCTAAATCGGTTCAGCCGTTCTTGAGTTATAAGTGGAGTAACTAACACGACTTTCTTTTATATATATAGATTGAGCATTGCTCACAGACCGGGCTTTAACTAGACATCGAAGGCTCCTGCTACTGACCTGCTCACACGTAACGCTTTTCTTCTTCGTACTTTCAGCATCGTTTTCGTCAAGTCTTGCTCGCTTGCCGGGCTTGAACGGCTCCTCGGCCGGGTGCCCGTGGCAGGGAGACACGGATACATGCTTCCGAAGCGCTTCGGTGGTTAAGAAGCGCATGTCGCACGTTGCACAGTACGGGCTGTCTTCTGGCAACTGTCAATAAAATAATTTTAGCTAAGGTAAATNGTATAGATGACCCACGCTGAACTGTCCCACCAAACTCAATGACAGGGGGGCGCTACCATCGTTCAACTATATGGTTTCCAACATGGCAAAAATCGGAACTAGCGATCCGGTATTGACGGTGGCGCCCCACTGTCAATGTCATGCATAGGACAGCGCAGTATTTTGGAACTATAAGAGTTACAATATCAAATTCCAACCACAAACCGTATTTAAAGGAAAGTTGTTGGTATTGGCTGGACAAGTCCGAGATGTAGAAGAATTAAGAACAAAACAAGGGCAGAGTTCAATAATTCACGCTCTCATCATAAGGCAAACATCTGTGCACAACAACTACTGTGACTCATTTTTGTACTACCACGTTGTATAGTTTAGTTATTTCCAAATTGTAAACGGCTATTAAAACAGCCCTATCGAAATACAGTNAGACACGGATACATGCTTCCGAAGCGCTTCGGTGGTTAAGAAGCGCATGTCGCACGTTGCACAGTACGGGCTGTCTTCTGGCAACTGTCAATAAAATAATTTTAGCTAAGGTAAATAAAAACAAAAATTGTCGACAATTACAGCAAGAAATTACCAAGTGTTATACCATTTTGGAATCCTTACTAAATGCGCCAAATTGACGTCACTTGCCACACTCGCGTAGTACAATTTTTTTTCAGTACAGTCAGTTTTCACTAGGCAAAATTTTTATTTTGAAATTTTTTTTGGGAATAATGTATTTTTTTCATCCAAGCTGGAGCAGCTGGTTTTGTAAATTTGATAACAATTTAGAGAAGCATTATTCAGGGTTACGTAACAAAAGAAAATTTGGAAAAAGTGAAGATTTGTGGCAACACGAGTAAAAAGACCGTCACCGGGAGTAGAATTTTTTGATTTTTTTTAAATGCCTATTATTTTGACAAAATGCCACATCTTAGTTTTTTTTTCATATTTACTGATAACCAGCATAACTTGCCACAACACCGAGTTCCGGCTTGACGTTGAATTACGGGACACCCTGTATAACTCAAAGGTGACTGACTGACTGACATAGTGATCTATCAACGCACAGCCCAAACCACTGGACGGATCGTGCTGAAATTTGGCATGCAGGTAGATGTTATGACGTAGGCACCCGCTAAGAAAGAATTTTACGAAACTCTACCCCTAAGGGAGTAAAACGGGATCCACGCGTACAAAGTCGCGGGCGGCCGCTAGTATAACTTACCGTAGTGAGGTAGCTGACGTGTGTGTATTTAGTTCTGGTCGCCATCGATCTGATGTTCTTCGTTTTTGACTTCCTTTTTTTCATTTTGATCTGTAATAAACAATAAATTAAGTAAGTAAAATCCATGATCCTGAAAGGGCTCTTTGAAGAATTTTGTAACATATATGTACAAACATGTGTGTACACATTTGTACAAACGTGTTGTCGTATTGTAAAGTGCCAGCGCTGATGCGTGACGTCACCAGGGCTGACGTCATCGTCATCAGCTTACGACATAGGCCTGGTTGGTTTGTAATACGTACCTAAGACGCTCTTAACAAGTAGAAGCTGGTTTATACTTCCGAACGCTTCGAGAAAACTTTTGAATCTATCTGTCTAATGCTGGTCAAAGATATGTGTCAAGATGTTTGCGAAGTCGCACAAACACTAGGTAGATATTTGTGCACATATTTTCTATGTTGTCCAAGAGTCCTGTTGCGATATTTTGTAGTCTACTCTTTGACGAAACTTTGCAACATATTTGTACAAACATGTGTGAATATATTTGTATAAACAGTTGCGATACTTGATCCTGAAAGTGCTCTTTGACGAAGCTTTGTAACATATATGTACAAACACGTGTGTACACATTTGTACAAACAGTTGCAATACTTGATCCTGAAAGTGCTCTTTGAAAAAACTTTGTAACACATTTGTACAAATATGTGTGAACGCATTATTGAATTAACTTTTGCTATACTTTGTGTAACATATTTGTACACAAATGTGTGGACACATTTGAACAAACATGTGTGAATACATCTTAAACACGTGTTTGTAACCGGTCGCGCCATAAAAAATGTCTTAGAGCTATGTAGTTACAAGTACGATGTAGCCTCCTTTGGTGCAAAGTTTGAAGATGTTTGTCAAGTTGTGGACAAGTAGCGGACTCACCATCAGTTCCTCCCTCTGTGGTGGAACTTGAAGTGCAAACGCATTTGTGCCCTGCCCATTGCCACTTCAGCTTGCTAATCCTTCGGGCTATGTCAGCGACTTTAGCTCGTTTACTGTTATGACCTCAAGTCTTCAAAAAGCAGGTCTACTCACCATCAGTTCCTCCGCCTTGTGGTGGAACCTAAAGTGCGTCTGCAGCCGGCGGATGCCGGGGAATGAAGCTCCGCACAGGTGGCAAACCACGTCTTCAGGGGGCCAGCGCTGTGCGTGACATCACGGGGCTGACGTCATCGACATCAGCTTACAGTGTTACAGTGGGACAAAGATCCCGTTGGTTTGTAATATGCTCTTAACAAGAGAAGCTGGTTTATACTTCCGAACGCTTCGAGAAAACTTTTGAATATGTCTGTTTGATGCTGGTCAAAGATATGTGTCAAGATGTTTGCGAAGTCGCACAAATACTAGTTAGATATTTGTGCACATATTTTCTATGTTGTCCAAGCGTCCTGTTGCGGTATTTTGTAGTCTACTTTTAGACAAAACTTTGGGACATAATATGTGTGAACACATTTGTACAAACAGTTGCGATACTTCATCCTGAAAGTTTTCTTTGAAAAAACTTTGTAACACATTTGTACAAATATTCGTGAACACATTTGTACAAACAGTTGCAATACTTGATCCTGAAAGTGCTCTTTGAAAAAACTTTGTAACACATTTGTACAAATATGTGTGAACGCATTATTGAATTAACTTTTGCTATACTTTGTGTAACATATTTGTACACAAATGTGTGGACACATTTGAACAAACATGTGTGAATACATTTTGTAACCGGTCGCGCCATAAAAAATGTCTTAGAGCTATGTAGTTACAAGTACGATGTAGCCTCCTTTGGTGCAAAGTTTGAAGATGTTTGTCAAGTTGTGGACAAGTAGCGGACTCACCATCAGTTCCTCCGCCTTGTGGTGGAACTTGAAGTGCAAACGCATTTGTGCCCTGCCCACTGCCACTTCAGCTTGCTAATCCTTCGGGCTATGTCAGCGACTTTAGCTCGTTTACTGTTATGACCTCAAGTCTTCAAAAAGCAGGTCTACTCACCATCAGTTCCTCCGTCTTGTGGTGGAACCTAAAGTGCGTCTGCAGCCGACGGATGCCGGGGAATGACTCTCCACATAGATGGCACACAACATCTTCAGGGTGCCAACGCTGCCGGTGGTTAATGAATGTTGCTACGCTCCTGTAGAAAACAAAATAATTAATTTATTTACAGTACCTACTCGTGCTCTTGACATAGCCCGCAAAATCGCTAAAATCAAGTGGCGGGGCACATAGCTCGTAGTCGTAGAGCTGATGGCCGCTTCAATGTAATGAGGGCTATCGTTTTTATACTTAACAGTTGGCACCCCTGGCGATTGACAGGACCTTACTCTACAGTGGCGCCATCTTGATGAGTGCAAATGCGATAGTCCTCCTACCACTTTAGCGCTCACCAGTTGGCGCCACTGTCTTCGCTACTAGCAAGTGACAGGACCTTACTCTACAGTGGCGCTAACTGGTGAGCGCTAAAACGATAGCCCTCATTGGTAGATCGCACAGGGTCTCGTCAGTAAGCAGTAGATCTTGGGTCTAATCTCATCACTGTTCTAGTTTCTTTTGGCCTCCGGTTTATTTTATATTAGGTTATATTATTAGACAGTAATAAACACTAGTACCAGGCCTGAGCCCCGATTACGGTAATTTTAAACGTCTCCAATCCAGACACGCTTCTCGATTCTGCGATACGATTGGTCGTTCAACAGCGTACGTCAGCTGTTTTGACCAATCGTATCGCAGAATCAGAAGCGCGTCTGGATTGGAGACGTTAAAAGTTACCGTAATCGGGGCTCAGTTCATCTCCGCGAGTTTGCATGGAAAACAAAACACGCACCTACTGGGATATTTAGAGAAGGCGCACACCGTTGATTTTTCGTCGGCCGATAGTTTAGTCGGGCAGTTGATCAGTATGGGCATGTATGGGACTTATGGGAGTGCGCACACTACACTTATTCTTATTATACAAATAAAAATAGGGCACAACTATCGGCCAACTAAAAATCAACGGTGTGCGCCTACTCTTAATCGACAGGACTCTCAAGAGCGAGCATTGACGCACGCACGTGTATTTTCATCCATTTGCATTGTAAAGACAATAAACTATGTATGATGAAAAGTAGAAAAAAAAAAACGGTGGCGTAATTAATACTGTGCAGTATTTTAACTGCCTGAATAGTAATAGAAACACAAAATATAATTCATGCTTATTCATACATTTCCTCCGACATTTTCCGCAGTTTGGCACCTCACGTCACATCATTTTACCGAAGTCAGCCCTATAGTTCGGCGCAGTGCCGATCACTGACGTTTGTCAACAAAATGGTGCTTGACTCTTGAGACAGGCTAAATTACACCATGTTGTTAATGACATTGAGCATATGTTACTGTAAAAGCTCGAACTACGGTTAATCTTAAGATTTAAGTGTAAGTCTTAGGATTTACCGACATGAGTTGGTAAATGTAAGTATTTCTGAAAATACGACGATTTTTCGAGCTTTTACCATTCGAATTCAGTATATGCTAGGTTTTACCTCTGTCAGCTGGTAGATGTTGGTTTTAGGAATAAAACAATGAGTAATTCTTAATGGGGAATTATAAAATGATCGACTAAAAAATAACTTAGCGACTGATGATGGCATACTGTTTTAATAACTTGAGCGGTATGAATTTGAGTAAGCGAAAAATTAATTTAACTAACGACGAATATTGATTAATAATCAAATGCAGAACGAGCTTACAAAGAGTGGGTTATGTTTAATCCATTTTAGATATTAAAATTCTGTCCGTGCGATTACATTACTATAGTCTATCCAATATAGCTTNATTTGTAATGACCTACGTATGTAGGTAAGTATGCATTCATTATGGTAAAACTTGGGAGAGGCCTTTGTCCAGCAGTAGACGTCATTTGGTTGAAACGAACGAACGCATTCTGAGCAGTAGTCATAGTAGGTTAGGTTCCTATACTATCCTAAGAATTATTGATTACCTACATGGCCAACATACCTTTCAGCATCTTTGGGAAGCAAAAAAAAAGATAAATCCGGTAGATTTCTTTTCGAATTTAAACACCCGAACGCCGCGCAATAATATTTCTTTCTCTTTATGTCCATTTTTAAATAATACTTCGATCATAGAATTAGGTACTACAACGAACGCCAGCGTCCTGACGGGCGCGCGCGTGACACTCGACTGATATAATACCCGCCGGCGGGGCGCTTCGCTGTAGGTAATTATCGGATGTACCGCGCGGAGTGAGCCAGGCCTGCTCTTAGTCTACTAGTACTCACGTGAAGTGCTTGGGACAATGCTCGCACTGGTATCGGCGGCCCTCGTGGAAGTGCTTGTGGGCGGCCGCGGCCGAACTGAAGGTCGTGGTGAACGGACACAGCCGGCATTTCATGAACCTCGCGTGTTTGGACCTGATAACATAAGATTTATTTATTAAAGCCCGGTCTGTGAGCACGTAGAATTTTGTCCAATGACCCCAAGCTACCTGTTCTTATCGCTCGCGCGTAATTATGTTGCTGTCGCGCTCGCACACTCACTGCGGGCGCCCGTCGCACAGTCGCGACAGTAATATAATATTACGCGCGAGCGATAAGGATGGGTAGCTTGGGGTCATTGGACAAAAGTCTACGTGCTCACAGACCGGGCTTTAGCTTTATTTCTAAGAAGTAGAACAGATATAACATTTTCAGCGGCTTCTGCACTACAACTCTAAAAAGTATATTACCGTAGCAGACACAGTTTTACTTTTATATGCTAGTGGCAAAATGATATCTAAGGTAATATTAAACAGTCAATTAAATACTATTTAGATAACAATTACAATATAGAAAATTGAAGTTTTTATTTTTTTTAAATTTTAAACAAAATTGGTAATAATACGGTTTAAATTATAAACCTCCATCTTAATTAAAATTGGTAATGATAAGGATAAGGTGTGTGTGCGTGCGTGTGTGTGTGTGTGTGTGTGCGTGTGCGTGTCAAAGGAGAATTAGGTTAGAATGTCTTCGGTCTCAGTATTTATTTGCTTAAAGCACAGATCACAGAAACTAAAGGGAGATGTGACAAGGGGGCGGGGCCGGTGTCGCAGCAATATGCCCAAAAACAGAAAACATTGCTCGTGACAGCAATGATGACAGCAGCGACGTCATAATGTAAACAGTTTACATTGCTTGCGTAGTACTAAAGAATATTCTAACGTTGAGTACTGACACCGCAGTGGATAATGAGCACATATTTTGATTACTTTGTGTGTGTGAATTTCTATTGCGACACTGAGTTTCGAACTCAGCGCATTAGTTGGCATCTCTCTATATAATATCTCTATGGCTTAAAGCACTATACATATAAAAAAATAAATCAGACCAGTCACATTGTTTTTCTTTGACTCACGCCCGTATTCACAAACGATGCTTGCTTAAGTGAAGCAGCAAATTGAACGCACAGCGTTGAATAGAGCTCTGTGATTGGTTCGTGTGTCACCCTGCATGTCCACGCGCACTGTGAGACCTCATAGTAATGTTTGTGAATACGGGCGTCGGTCCTCTGGCTGAGTACTGATAAAGACTACCACCAAAAAAACTTACATCTTATGTTTTTTAAGAGAGTTGAAAGTTTCGAAGTGCATCTTGCAAATATCGCACTTGTATGGGCCGTAGTCCTGAAATGAATAAAAACAAAATTACATATATTTGCTGTCTCTCTCTAGTGTGGCTTTTTAACTATAGGTATTTATAAGCGCTACAATCAATACAGTTCGCGAGTAGGATTGCCAGGTTACGGTTACGGATATTGGAATAATATTATATCGGTTTCGGTTACGGTTACGGATATTGTTTAATTTCGGATATCCGAAAGTTTCGGTTACGGTTACGGATATCTGTGCTAAGTACAGAGTGCAAATTCCAATAGTCGTCCAACACTAATAGAATGGGTACAGAAGAGTTTTGCATCTGTCACCTTCTTTTGGTCGCACAAAAAAGCTTTTATCTTATGGGAAAAAATCATGTACTTCAAAATGAAATCATTAACAGCGTAGGGACTTGCTTGACTCTGCCTACATCCGAAACTATCCGAAACCTTGAAAAATCAGCCCTAAAACTATTTTGACGCGTACGAAGTCACGGACGCAGGTAGTATTAGTATAGCTAGAATACTAATGCCCGTTTTCACCATCAATCTCTAATTTTTAAGTGACCCCTATGAAAACAAAATGCCTGTTACGTGTTACCATAGGGGTCACTTAAGAATTACGGGACTATTCCCACCTCTCGTTCCCACCACTGCAACTCCTGTGTAGCCAGGATCTACAGCTTGACCGCCACAAAAACCCAACCAATGAAGGTCAAGTTTGTCCCGGGGGAAAGTTAAACTGTCATTGGACCCGCAACGAAATTAATCAGAAGAACATAGGAGGAGTTCGAAATTAAGGTTCGACTTCCCTCCATTGCAAAGCGGATGACAGGTGACAAACAAAGGTTTAAAACCTTACCACTGAAGAATTAGGGATTGATGGTGAAAATGGGCACAAGTTACTTACTTTGCTGTGTAATCTCATGTGCTGCCAGTACGGACCTTCAAGCTGGAACGCTCGAAAGCACTGTTCGCACTTAAAAGCAGCATTATGGTAATGATCAGTAAACTTCCTTTTATTGATCTCATCTCTCGCGTCTTCTTCTGTCATTTTAATAACTTCAAACATTTCGTTAAACTCTTTCGCGTATTGCGTTACTATATTAGTTTTTCTTACACTNCATCCTTATCGCTCGCGCGTAATTATATTGCTATCGCGCTCTCACACTCACTGCGGGCGCCCGTCGCACAGTCGCGACAGCAATATAATTATGCGCGAGCGATAAGGATGGGTAGCTTGGGGTCATTGGACAAAATTCTACGTGCTCACAGACCGGTCTTTAGCTTTATTTCTAAGAAGTAGAACAGACATAACAGCGGCTTCTGCACTAAGGTCACGCTTGTATAGCAGCTGCCAAATAACACAACTCTAAAAAGTAAATTACCGTAGCAGACGGACAAACAGTTTTACTTTTATATGCTAGTGGCAAAATGATATCTAAGGTAATATTAATTCAATCAATTAAATACTATTTTGATAACAATTACAATATAGAAAATTGAAGTTTTTATTTTTTTTAAATTTTAAACAAAATTGGTAATAATACGGTTTAAATTATAAACATCTATCTTAATTAAAATTGGTAAGGATAAGGTGTGTGTGTGTGTCGTGTGTGTGTGTGTGCGTATGTGTGTGTGTGTGTGTGTGNTAATAATACGGTTTAAATTATAAACCTCCATCTTAATTAAAATTGGTAATGATAAGGATAAGGTGTGTGTGCGTGCGTGTGTGTGTGTGTGTGTGTGTGTGTGTGTGTCAAAGGAGAATTAGGTTAGAATGTCTTCGGTCTCAGTATTTATTTGCTTAAAGCACAGATCACAGAAACTAAAGGGAGATGTGACAAGGGGGCGGGGCCGGTGTCGCAGCAATATGCCCATAAACAGAACACATTGCTCGCGACAGCAATGATGACAGCAGCGACGTCATAATGTAAACAGTTTACATTGCTTGCGTGTACTAAAGATTATTCGAACGTTGAGTACTGATACTGCAGTGGATAATGAGCACATACTTTGATTACTTTGTGTGTGTGAATTTCAAATGCGACACTGAGTTTCGAACTCAGCGCATTAGTTAGCATCTCTCTATGTCTCTATGGCTTAAAGCAAGATATAAAAAATTAAATCAGACCAGTCACTTATTTTTCTTTGACTTTCACGCCCTTATTCACAAACGATGTTTGCTTAAGAGAAGCAGCAAATTGAACGCACAGCGTTGAATAGAGCTCTGTGATTGGTTCGTGTGTCACCCTGCATGTCCACGCGCACTGTGAGACCTCATAGTAATGTTTGTGAATACGGGCGTCGGTCCTCTGGCTGAGTACTGATAAAGACTACCACCAAAAAAACTTACATCTTATGTTTTTTAAGAGAATTGAAAGTTTCGAAGTGCATCTTGCAAATGTCGCACTTGTATGGGCCGTAGTCCTGAAATGAATAAAATCAGAATTATATTTGCTGTTTCAAGTGAGGCTTTTTCAAACGCTGCCAATAGTGAATAAGTTTCTTGCGCTGTTTCTCAGAACTGGCCCATTTATTGTCCCGAAGCAGTGGTAGGGTTAATACTGGGACGTGTAAAGTGCTTTTTCAAAGCCTAACTTGCATAAATAAATGAGTTTTATACTTATTATTACATTACTTAATTATTACGAACAGTGTTCCCGAATGGCGACCACGGGCTGGAAGTAGGGATTGCAATTGCTGGATCCAGCATACAGCAATCCAGCTGGATCCAGCGCCTTTTTAACCATGCTGGATCCAGCATGCAATGCTGGATCCAGCGATGCGGATCCGCAAACATATAAATTTCTATTGCTTAGTTTCGAATTACCGCCATTTTCAGCCGTTCTGTTGTAGTATGCGTTGAACGACGCCTCTCCGAAGTTACTGGTACGTTTGTGTGCTTGAAAAATCCAAAAAAGTATGAAGAAGCTGTATAAAAATCTGTCTATTTTCCTTTGCCAAAAAAGAATGTGATGCAGCAGGAGATGAAAACTTTGTTAAAACGTGTAAATAAACAAAATATTGTAGAGCCGGTGCAAGAAGATGAAGACATCATGGAGTTAGAAGAGAATGGTCTAAATGATGACGCAGAACTCGTGAAAATGACTTTAGAGCAAGAGCTTGAGATGCAACTTTTAAAAGAGAGAAGGAGAACCTTAATAAACAAACGCCAAAGCCAAGTGGTCAATTAGATTACGAAAAGGTCTGGAAAAAAGAAATGAGCGTTTATGAGACCGAAGGAGTGCGTGGTGAACATTTATCTATGGTATACACTATTTAATTACCCTAAAACCAACCAGTGTAGGAGGCCGAAAGGGCATTCAGCAGCCGGCTACATTTACTTCCAGAGAATAAAAAAAAGAAATGATCAGTCTCATGTCGTCAGATTTTAAACTGCCTTATTATCGCAGAAGATTATTTCGTATTCGTAACTTCTATTGATACAATTAAGATAGATTGCAGATTAAAATATGATCCTTTTCGTAGTTAATTTTAAAAGAATTTGTAAGATTGAGACTGATTAGCCGTATTTCATAGATTGTTGTAAGAAGTACAATAATGGGCAAGCAAAATGTGTTGGTAAGCGCAGACCTCAACAACGCCTGGACCTTTTTTTTAAATGTTCGTTGAAGTCCAAGGATGGTTTTAACGGCAAGAAAAATTCGAATAATTTCCGGGAAAACCCTAAAAAGAGCCCTTTTTTCACGCGGGCGAAGCCGTGGGCTGAAAACTAGTTACACAATAAAAAAAGTCTTAAAAATGTCGTCTTTTTATTTGCGTTCCACATTTTGCTGGATCCGCGCTGGATCCAGCTGGATTCAGGTCAATCCAGCAAGAATCCAGCTGGATTGAAAACGCCGCTGGATTGCAATCCCTAGCTGGAAGACGTAGCGTGGGCAGGCCTCCTACTAGGTGGACCGACGATCTGGTAAAGGTCGCGGGAAGAGCCTGGATGCGGGCTGCGCAGGACCGTTCATTGTGGAAAACCTTGGGGGAGGCCTTTGTCCAGCAGTGGACGTCATTTGGACGAACGAACGAACGATTGGTACGGTTAATAGAGCTATTTAAAACCCTACTTGCATAAATAATTGAGTTGTGTACTTATTACTAGCGGCCGCCCGCGACTTCGTACGCGTGGATCCCGTTTTACCCCCTTAGGGGTGGAGTTTCGTAAAATCCTTTCTTAGACGATGCCTACGTCGTAACATCTACCTGCATGCCAAATTTCAGCCCGATCCGTCAAATGGTTTGGGCTGTGCGTTGATAGATCACTATGTCAGTCAGTCAGTCAGTCAGTCACCTTTGAGTTATTATATTTAGACTTACTTTGCTGTGAAGTCTCATGTGCTGCCAATACGGGCCTTCAAGCTGGAACGCCCGAAAGCACTGTTCGCACTTAAACGCAGCATTATGATAATGATCAGTAAACTTCCTTTTATTAATCTCATCTCTCGCGTCTTCTTCTGTCATTTTAATAACTTCAAACATTTCGTTAAACTCTTTCGCGTATTGCGTTACTATATTAGTTTTTCTTACACTGTAATCGTAATTTTTATCAATATCGTTTTCGTCGTCAGAATTTTGCAAACCAAAGTCGGATTCGTGTTTTGCGAGGTCGTCATCATCTTCGCTCGCTGATTTGTCTTTGGTTTCGCCATCTTGGTATTCTGTTTCGACTATGGTGCCGTCTTCTAGGTATAGTATTTCTTTGTCTATAGTTTCATCTATTTCTTTGTCTATAGTTTCATCTATTTCTTTGTCTATGGTGTCTTCTAACATTTCTTTGTCTATGTCTTCTAGTTTTTGGTCGCCGATTTCTTCCTCGTATTCTTCCACTTGCAGGTCGAAGTGGTTGGGTTCGAATACGGTTAGAGCCAGTTTTGTTTCGAGTAGGTGTTGTTTCCGGTTGATATTCTTTATGGTGTCCATTGTTAGCTGAAAATTGAGGTTTATTACAACAGATTATTATTACTAAAGACCGGTCGCCAAGCAGATAGGATTTCGTACAATGACCCCAAGCTACCCATCCTTATCGCGCGTAATTATGTTGCTGTCGCGCTCGCACACTCACTGCGGGCGCGCGTCGCACAGTCGCGACAGCAATATAATTACGCGCGAGCGATAAGGATGGGTAGCTTGGGGTCATTGAACAAAATTCTATCTACTCGTCGACCGGACTTTATCTATATATATAAAAGAAAGTCGTGTTAGTTACTCCACTTATAACTCAAGAACGGCTGAACCGATTTAGCTGAAAATTGTCAGGGAGGTAGTTTAGAGCCAGGAGAAGGACATAGGATACTTTTTATCCCGTTCGAAATAAAAAAAGGCTGCTTATTTATTGCCATTTAGGCGGAACAAAGTTCGCCGGGTCAGCTAGTTATAAATATTACAGTGAATGGCTATTGGGATTCTAACGGCTGAACGGATTTTAATTAAGTTATGGACTTACGATATCTCCTTCAATGAGCTCCATAAGGCACGTCCACGAGGTAAGGCTCTTAGTACTAAACTCTATGAAGTTCAGGAGTCTTTGGAGACACTCGTAGCAGAGCATTTGAGGCATCTTGGAGGAGTCAAACATTTCCGCCTGGGAAGAAAGGAAGATTATTTTGTACTAAATTACAATTAAAATAGAACTTTTACAATTAAAAATCACATCACATGGGACCACAAATAGTGTCAATGTGTCAATAACATGAATATAAAGTAAAAAGTTCAAAATCATTTATGTTGTTAAAAATAAAACATTAAGCTCATAGCAGACTTATCAACTCGGAAAGGGATCAACACCGTATCGCCTTTCGCGCGCTGTCAACCGTGTAGCGAGGCGTTTACGTTACGGTTACGGTACGTAAAACAAAACGCAACTGCTTCTTTGTGTAAAATGTAAAAACTAAAAGAAAGCAACTTTTTCTCAAACTCAAGTCGTCAAACGCCTACACGAACATTTGCTGTGAATAGTGAAAAAATAAGGTGTTCGGATTTTTATCGGAGTGTTTAAATCCGTTGTTTCGTCTTTATTTGCGCATAAACTTTACCGCGATACCGAATTTGCACCTCAGCTGGAATGAAAACGGAGCGCAACTGGCGAAGAAGCGCCAATGAATTGGGGACGTTAAAAATCAGCGCAATCGGGGCACAGTGCACTGTCAATGGCTGAAATGATGAATGATGATGATTTTTCCACTTACCGTGATTCCAGTCAGCAGGAGATAGGTATTTTCCAGGTTGTAATGTGACATCGAGAACATTTTACAGCCGGTGACCAAGCAAATACGACACACCTGGAAAACGTTTTAATAATTTACTTTTTGCATTTCTAATGCTAAAATTATGTCAAAACTTGCGAGCGCCCGCGACTTCATACGTGTGAATCCCATTTTACCCCCTTAGGGTTGGAGTGGCGTAAAATCCTTTCTTAGCGGATGCCTACGTCATAACATCTACCTGCATGACTTTCAGCCCGATCCGTCCAGTGGTTTGGGTTGTGCGTTAATAGATCACTATGTCAGTCAGTCAGTCAGTCACCTTTGAGTTAGACGATATGTCGCCAGTGGGGCCAACTAGTGAGCGCATTAAGGAAACTCAAAATTACCTGAAGCCCTAAGTGTGTATTCAAATCTTCTTCAGATATCTTAACAGCCTTCGGAACCTGAAAAAATATTTAAAAGTAACCGTTCAGTAGTTTGTGAAAGAGTAACAAACATACATCATCATCATATTAAAGTCCGGTCGCCAAGCACATACAATTTCCAATGACCCCAAGCGACCCATCCTTATCGCTCGCGCGTAATTATATTGCTGTCGCGCTCGCACACTCACTGCGGGCGCCCGTCGCACAGTCGCGACAGCAATATAATTACGCGCGAGCGATAAGGATGGGTAGCTTGGGGTCGTTGGACGAAATTCTACGTACCTAATCGACGACCGGACTTTAGTAATATACAAACATAAACAACATACCTTAGCATTCTTTTTAACTTCTTTCTTAACCTTTGCGTCTTGATTCTTTTTTATGGCAGTTTTCTTCCTCTTTTTAGCTGGCTTCGGCGGCTCATCGTCAGAAGATGGTATACTTAATTCTTCTGCAGATATATAATCATCAATGTCACCACCACCGTCACTTTCTGATGATGTCACTTCGTTGAGCTTTTCCAGAGCAGTATCTATGTCGAGACTGAAAGAGAAAAAATGGTACTTAAATATTTATCTGCTATGGTAGCAGGTTCAAATCTTGATAGGGACAAAAGTATTGTAGGTATGCTAGCTTTTGCCCGCGGTTTCAATCGCGTGAAATATAGCCTATATGTTATTCTGGGTTATAATCAATAATACTATAGTTTCATCAAAATCCGTTCAGTCGTTTTTGCGTGACAGAGTAACAAACATCCACACAAACTTTCGCATTTATAATATTAGTAGGATTACGTTGAAAAGTTGTAATAGTGACTGAGTTTCTTTCGCTGCTTCTTCTCAGCACTGGCCCATTTATTGTCTTGAAGCAGTGGTAGGGTTAATACTGGGTCGTAAGTGCTTTTTAAAAGCCTACTTGCATAAATAAATGAGTTTTATTATATTAAACTGGCCGCTACTTCATATGCTTGAAAATCACTGACCTCTATACCCACTGGACTGGTGCTGTTATAATATTTTTGTGCCTATTTGATTTTTGCCATTCTGGCGCTGTAGGCCATTTTTATATCTGCAATCGACTTGGGTCATAATCAGATGTTTTGTCTTGCTTTTTTTGTGTTCTTAGGAAGGGGTATTTCAATAAATTCTCCCCCTCAGTCTTCACTCATTCATGTAGCATATATTTTATACAGTCCGGCCGGAGGTAATATTGGAATATTCAGTCCGAGCCACTAGCATCTTTGGTCCAACTGTAGTATTTGCCATCTTTTCAGACTTGTGGTGGTCTTGTGGGTTTGTTCTTCATATAATGTACACACACAAAAATAGCTATCATTTGTATGAGACAGCCTGTCCAGTGTGGATAGAAGTCAGTGGTGAAAATCTATACTAATCTATACTAATATTATAAAGCTGAAGAGTTTGTTTGTTTACTAAAACGCGCTAATCTCAGGAACTACTGGTCCAATTTGAAAAATTCTTTCAGTGTTAGAAAGCTCATTTATCGAGGAAAGCTATAGGCTATATACTATCAGCAGAGCAACAATGAAAAATGATGCAAAAACGGGTTTTCACGCGTACGAATTCGCGGGCGCAGCTAGTTGTTTGAATAAAAATCTTACCTTTCCGCATCAGACGCAGGTTCTACCTTTAGGGCTGGAACTGCATTCTTCTTCAGCGCCTGTCGAGGGTTGTTGTGCGAGTAATCCGAGGTTTTGAAGTGTCGGTAACACACCTTCGCTCCATTTTGGTAATCTTTCGGAGTTAAATTCAGGCTTTCTAGCCAATGATCTCTTTTTTTACGATCTGGTGGGAATCTGTGAAAGATTTTTATTAGAGAAAAACATAGAACTGAATAGAAAACCGCCTGTCTGTTAAAAATTAAAAGAATCTTAATTTTTCAAGTCCGTTAGATATTAAAACAAACTTTTATGTCAGTTTTGAAACACTTTTTGTATTAAAAAGTCAGTAAATGAACATTAAATACAAAAGTGAGAATGTATTAACAAAAAAAAATTGATTTTAGTGAAATTATTTGTTCTTCGGTGTGCATAGTTGTAAACTTTTTATGACCAAAACTTTATATTGTGAATAAAGTTAAATAGACATTTTCATGAATTATTAATATGTTTTAAACGCCCATTGAACTCAAATTGGGTGTTTTAGTGCATCAGTGACGTCACTGCACTGAAACTTAAAATCTAATTATGATTGCTGTTGAAAGCAGTCAATAAGATTAAACAACGAACAATGATTTAAGAAGGAAATTGGCAATTGGCTTTAATAAACTTACGCGTGAAACCGTATCCCGCATCCAGGGTAATACGCGCTCAGACAGTCCGGCACAATACACATTCCCGCACTTTTTTTTCCCACCATTTTTGAATTGTCTTTTCATTTGAGTTGATTGAGATGAAGATGCCGCGGTCTATCCGTATATTGTCATGGGAAGCCGACTTTGGGCATCTAAAACCGAAGAACACAGAATGGAGCAGCCGTCCCGAGACCAAACACGAAAATGACAAACGCGTCAAGCCAAGATGGCTGCTGCCACATGCGTTCTTACATCTATGGCCAATCTTTACCGTAGTAAAAATTCCAAATTTCGTAATAAAATTAGCGAAATCTTCATTTTCGCTACTATTCTGTTAATTTTTATTATTTTAATGATTTAAAATTAGTTCTAATAAATGGTGTTCATTTAATTTTTGGTGGACAACTATTTCAATTATTCAATAGTCTGTCAGTATTAAAAACCGGTTCTGTCGAAATAACGTAATAACGTTACTTGAGCAACGTGCATGAGAGCTTTACAATAGCTTTTTTTTTCGCGCCATGAAATTAAAATGTTTCCTCAGTTTATCCCGTTCTCTATTCAAATAATTTAATTCTAATTAATTATGTAAAACATTGAGCTTATGTACGGGATGGAATGGAACTGAGCCACATACGTGTATCTGTCGCAGGCAAATTGTATGATTCCGCATTTTACAAACGGCGTCGTCAATTTACAAACGCTCGCTGTTCTATGAAATGCCGAAGGCAAATTGGCAACTCGTTCAATTGATATTTCGACTATGATTGTTGCAATAGGGTGACCATCATAAAACACATGTTGGACAAATCAGACATAATTTCAGAAATCAGGTAGGTATCTATTCAAGTAAGACAAACCTAAAATACTGTTACTCCTNGCCCACTGCCACTTCAGCTTGCTAATCCTTCGGGCTATGTCAGCGACTTTAGCTCGTTTACTGTTATGACCTCAAGTCTTCAAAAAGCAGGTCTACTCACCATCAGTTCCTCCGTCTTGTGGTGGAACCTAAAGTGCGTCTGCAGCCGACGGATGCCGGGGAATGACTCTCCACATAGATGGCACACAACATCTTCAGGGTGCCAACGCTGCCGGTGGTTAATGAATGTTGCCACGCTCCTGCAGAAAAAAAGACAAAAAATACATACAATTTATTTTTTATTTACACGTCCCAATCCTGTAGCCTCTCGTAACAAAACTTCAATGACAACAAACGCTGAGTTGCAATCCTATCGAGTAAGAATAAATCGCTGAATGCGATCCTATCGAGTAATCGTTCTATCGAAATGACCCTTGTGAATACGGATTTAGAATTATTTTTCAATGGGACGACGTAACAAAACGTCAATGACAACAAATCGCTGCGTTGCGATCCTATCGAGTAAGCGTTCTACAAATATGACCCTTGTGAATACGGATTTAGAACTGTTTTTCAATGGGGCGACTTCTGAACGTCGGCCAAATCGAATCGGCGTAGTGTGCGCACTCCCATACATGCCCATACTGATCAACAGCCCGACTAAACTATCGGCCGACGAAAAATCTCTCGACCTCGTCTCGACGGACTCTCAAGAGCGAGCATTGACGCACGCACGCGTATTCTTCACCCATTTGCATTGTAAAGACAATAAACTATGTATGATGGAAAGTAGAAAAAAAACGGTGGCGTAATTAATACTGTGCAGTATTTTAACTACCTGAATAGTAATAGAAACAAAATATAATTCATGCTTATTCATGCATTTCCTCCGCCATTTTCCGCAGTTTGGCACCTCACGTCACATCATTTTACCGAAGTCAGCCCTATAGCTTCGGAGCAGTGCCGATCACTGACGTTTGTCAACAAAATGGTGCTTGACTCTTGAGACAGGCTAAAGTACACCATATTGTTAATGACATTGAGCATACATTTTTTTAAATACCTTTGCGAAGAAAATCTTCGGTACGAAGTACTTATTATAATTATTATAGGCTAGTTTCCTACAAAAATTTTTTAGTCCGTCAATTTTAGTATAAAAAAATATTGGACACGTATATTTTTAATTGTCAATCAAACAAATAATTACAAAGTTATAGTGCGTTGAAGTTCCGCGCGACGTCACAAAGTGCTGCACTTTTACGCACTCACTGACGTCACGGGCCTTTTCTTTAAACCTATGGCACGCTTTATCTCTTTACATTTTCATAAATTTTAAAACATGAAAAATGCGTGTTGAGTAGTTTTTGATAAGCTAACTGACTGACTAATTAAAACTCTTGTTTTTTACCCAGGAAACATCCCTATTCTGTGCTAGTACTCACGTGAAGTGCTTGGGGCAATGCTCGCATTGGTATCGGCGGCCTTCGTGGAAAGTTTGACAGTTCCAACTCCTTGCCAGACAGTTTTTTCAGACTTCATGTTTCACCAACATTGTATCCTATATTGGGAGCATACGCTGACAAACTTTCAGCTTTTATAAAATGACGTAGGTCTAGTGTTCACTAGCTCTTAGCACAGAATAAGTAATAGTACA